CCACCCTCCGCCCCGGCCCACCCTCCTGCCAGCGCCCACCTTCTTCTGGAAGGTCACCCGGCTGAAAGCGTGCTCGTCGAAGCGGTAGCCCTGGCTCAGCAGCTGATGCAGGAACATGGCCATGGGGCAGTAGTTGGGCAGGCGGGCCTCTGCCTCCGGTGCCCGGGCCTGCAGCTGGGACACAGGTGGGGTGATGTTAGGCCCCGGCTACCAGGAGGTGGGGTGGTGGGGTGGCCAGCCAGGTGCTGCACCACGTACACACACACACACACACACACACACACACACACACACGCACGGCAATGCGGGTAGAAAGATGAAGGCCCAGCTCTAGCTGGTTTGGCTCAGTGGATAGAGCGTTGGCCTGGGGACGTAACCTCCTGGTTCATAGGTCGACGCTCAACCACTGAGCCCCGCCAGCTGTGCTCCCCTTGACTTTTCGAGCGAGTGAGTGCGGGGGGCCGAGCGGCTGGCCTCACCTCACTCCATGTCTGGCTGCAGACGGTGACCGCGGCGTCCTCCAGCTGCTGCAGGGTGGCCACGGGCAGCCCCATCGCCGTCCGCAGGAAGTCCACGGTGTAGAAGAAGGCGGAGAAGGCCTGCGGGCAGGCGGTCACCCTGAGCCCCGGCCCGGGTGCTGCCAGGCAGCCGCCCCCATCCCCGTCCCGGACTCACGATGAAGTCCCCGGACACCGGTGGCTGGAAGACGCCGTTGAAGGAGCAGCGGGAGAAGGGGCAGGACGAGAGGTTGAAGAGCCCGGAGACGAGGCCGCGGCAGAAGGAGGGGTCGCCACTCCCGGACAAGCTGACCCCGTCGCTGCTGTTGAAGGTCTGGGGCCGCTGGGCCGCGGTGCACGGGGACTCGTACACGTCCCGGAGCAGCACGTGAGTGGAGTAGCCCCGCGGCCAGCAGGGGTGAGGGCGGCGGGTCTGGGAGACGATGAAGGTGGGGTTTCACCACCCCACTTTAAGCACTGCCCACCCCAGGACCCTGGGGGGCCTCCCCAGCCTGATGAATCTCCCACCAGCCCACTTGGTGACATCACTTCTGTGCTCAGGAGCAATCCATGGCTCCCCATTGCCCCTGGCAAAAACCAAACCCCTGGCCAGACACTCCAGGCCCTCTGAGGTCTGGCCCTGGCCCTGCTTCCCTCGCCTGGCCCTCCCCAGGCCCTCCCCCGGCCACTGAGCCTTGGCCCACGCTGGGTCACTCCCCGCCGTGGCTCCCAGGTCGAGTGGCGGCTGTCTGGCTCTGCCCTGTGCCCGTGGCCCTGTCCCCTCCCTTCCCTCCCTCCCTCCCTCCGGCAGGGCACAGGGGCTGGGGGCGGGGCGTGGGCACCTGGAGCACACTGGCCAGCAGCCTCTGGAGGATCTGGTCGCGACCGTAGCAGAGGAAGCTGTGGGTGTAGACGCGGTACTGCTGGCCGTAGAGCCGCAGCTGGACCTCATTGGCCGGGTCCTCGGTGGGGCTGGCCGCCTCGAAGGTGAGCTGCGTGGAGGCGGGT